AAAGCATCTGCTCAGAGAGAAGAACATCTACAAAACTCTCATCAACGCAGCAGTAGCGGCTCACCCACCACGAGTGGAGTATGAATAAGATGAAATCAGATCAGCTCACAAAACCGCTCAACGGTGGAATTGAACACCCCTGGTTCAAGCCTGGAATCAGTATAACATAAAAATATCTTATATAATATACTGATTACTTCAGATATTAATAGGTGGTTGTTCCTCCAAAAGATGGCCAAAAGATGACTAAAGGAGTCAGTCTTTTTAAGCTCATTCATGGACGCCAGATCCAAAATAGATTAAGGGACATGTAGTAGTGCTTTGGAGATACATTCTAATCTTTCAGAGATTAATGCCACAAAAGACCACTAAACCCACAAACAGGTAATTTGTTGGAAAAACACTAGTCTGCATACCCAGTGGGTGTGGCTAATTGTAAGACAGCAGGACAGGTTGGCTAACAGTAACAGAAGAGCATCCTCTACTGGGTAATTAGGAAACTACAGTCTTTCAATATTTTCTTGGCAAACTGAATAAAAACAAGGACGGGAGGAAACCTCCCACCCCAAACCATAACCACAAAAAACTGCAGTTATCCAAGTAGTACAGCAATGTTTTTGTTGCCCATTCCCTCTTCTGTTTTAAAAGATTGAGAAATACTTCTGAAGAATGATATTAACTGCATAATATCTTTCTTGATTAATGAATTTTAATTATTTTGTCAATAGGTTTTTCCCTTTGTGACTAGCAGAATTTATTTAATTTATTAAATGCAATTATAGATTGCAAACATTAAACACAGGTAACACAGCACAAGACAAAAAATAAATAAGTAAAAAAAATAGATGTCTCACTTTAAAATAAATACAACAAGCATTTCAGCAGAATATCTTCTCCATTTCTCTCCAGACCACAAAAAGGGGACAAGTCTGTCAACAACATAGAATATTAAACACTACTGACTCAAACAAAAATACTACAAGACCACTGTATTTCTACAACTTATTAATATTTTTTTAGCAATTTATCTGATTAATAACTAACTCCTTAGCACTTTTAAAATACCTGACATAGTCTTTCAGTAAAAAATGAAGTTGGTAAACTACCCAACTCAGAAATCTGTAATTTTTTAACCTTCCTCTTCTGTCTCTTTTTGAGGCATGCTAGTTTTAGCTATTTCCTTTTAGAAGACAAGTGAATTTGTAAGATATTACAGTATCACTGAGGCGATGGTGCTGGGCACTGTTACCTGTCTGGTCCTAGGATACAGAAGCCAGTGCACACATTACAGGGTGTTCCACCTTCCAATAAAACCATGAACCCCCCCTGCACCTCAGTCTTGGCTTTTATGACTTCTTAAAAGTCAGTACAATAAGATCAAAGCATTTTGCTGATAAAAGAACAAACTTATAACTAAACATGTGGCTGTTTTTGGAATGCTACTTACATAAATGTATACTCATGGCATTACAGACGAAATTAAAAATGAACAGCTGAGACAGAATTCCTCAGTTTGGATGAACGTGCATCCACTTGTTGCCATGGAGCGGAGTCTACAGTAAGTTTTCATTTTTCATCCATTTCCTTTATGTCCTCCTGATCCGACGTACTAGAGACCTCGTCGTCTGTTTGCTCTCCAGAGAAATACAACATGAGTGCATGTGTCTTGTGAGTTATGGTGACGGTGCAGGGCCCCTGTGCCCACGGCTCACCGTCCACCTGCATCGGCATCATGGAGCACTTTAAAATCAGCTGGCAGAGGGGAACAAAAGAGCATGAAAAGCCAGTAAGTCATAGCCCAGGGATGTCTTCCTTAACCCCACCCACAGACCCTCAACGCTCCTGTGCTTCATTTTCAGAACATTTATACATATATATTTATAAATAAATAAATATGGAAGCTCGCTCTGGTGGCTGAGTGCCAATCCAAAGGTACAAAGTATGAATTCATCAGCTGCTGTCTGAGCTCTCCCACGTGCTTTACTACTTCAGAAAACCACTGGAGAGTCAGTTATGAGTCAGTTCTGACTCAAAGACGCTCAGCATTTTTTAAAATGAAGGAACTGAAGAACAAATTCAAGCCTCGGGTTGCAAACTGAAACATCAACATACATATATATCTTCATCTACAGCTTTTAGGTACTCCTTTGTGGTGAATGCCTTTTATCTTTTTGAACTGAACTGAAGGCCACCCTTCTGGCTCTTTCTTCCTCCCTCCCAAGAGAGTGGGCTGTAAGTCACTGCTTAAGAACAGGCACAAGGTGTGGGTACACTCTTTCCTACATATTAAGGACTGAGAAATAAAGTGGGACAAATTAGCCTGTTGCAGCAATATTGCACCTACCCGCACTGTATGTGCTTGTCCTATTCGGAAGGGATTTGCCAACTTCACCTGAATCTGAGCACAATGGAAAGATCCATACACACCAACGACTTCCAGCAAACCATCATCATGTCTGAAACCACAAAGGAAAACAAGGATCACAGGCTGCAATAAAATCTACGCACTCATGTTAAGGCAAGCGTTTTGTAGCATTAGCTTATGAACAATTTATATTAGTGAGATACATAAAAAAAGAACATTTGTAGAAAAAAAATTTTAAAGTCCATAAAACCCAGTAGACTTCTTTAAGGAAAACAGTGGCATAAAAAAAGCAGACTGTAAAGTTACACACCTGGCTAGAGGGTAGGTCTCATCGCCCATGCCTTCCCAGAGCCGGCAGCCGCCGCCCCAGTATCCGATGTTCAGAACTATGATGCCTTCCAAATTTGGCAGCTCTACTCGCTCACCATCTAGTTCTAACTTTAAAGAAATGCAAGTAGTGAGTCAACACTGAGCACATTATTTATAGATGCCTTCACTCTGAATGTCAGTTTCCACACATGCCAATGCAAGAACTGCACGTGCAATAAAAAGCAAGCAAGAGATTACGTCCTACTTGAAGCTTGAAGCAACTGGACCTTTCCCACCTCCCCTGTTTTCATCCTTATCACCAATGATGGTGTGTGTTTTTTTTCTTTTTGTCAGATCCAACTGTTGTTTTCAGGTCTTTTCTAACTTGTTATTTCAGCAGCACCTGGCACTGCTGGCCACCCTCCACCTCTCCTAACATCCTCTTTCTACTTTCTGGGAACTACTGCCCCTACTTCTCAGAGGTTTCCCCTCAGTCACTGTGGAGGACTCCACTTCCTGTCTGGCCTCATATCTTTGCATCAAGTCCCTTTATCTTCTCTAACTCTAGAGTTGCACTCTAGAGAGCGCAAGTGTAGCCATTTCTATACCTCTAAGTGCCATCTTTGTGCTGAGTCTTTCCACTTTGTCAACTGGCTCACGAAAGTGATTTGCCCTAGATTCACATATCCAACTGCCCACGTGACACTTGCACAGAATAGAGAACCTAACACTCCTATGAGCAAAACTGAGTTAAGCAAGTCTTCTGTGTGTTTCCCAGCCGCTGCCTACTTCCCCAGACACAGAAACACCATCCCCGCAGCTGCCCAACTCAGCTGGTTATCACTGGTGGTAATCACTGACTTCCTGGCCTTTACCCTCCATATTGAATTAATCACTAAAAACGGCTGACACCACTCTCTAAATATCTGTAACTCTAGGCCAGAACACCATTATCTCTTCCCTAACATATTTCTACCTTGTCTATCTTCCTCTAGGCCTTAACTCTCCTTATTCATCCCTAAGAGAGCAACTGGGTTAACACCAATAAAATTCAAGTGTGTCCCCCACCTTCAATCGCTTAACTTCCTGCTCATGATGAAACCAGAGTTCCTTAGCGGGCCAACATGGCCCTCTGTGCATATTTTCTTAGTCTACAACAATTTTGCCCTTTTTTACCTAGCTTACTCTTAATTATTGGATTCCAGCTTTTAGAAAGACACAGTGGCTTGCCTGGGTCCAAAATAATGAACTCAAGCCCTGTAGCTTATTTCTTGGTGGTACTGAGGTTCCCATGCCCCCAGGACACTGTCTTCTCCTTCTACCTTACAGACACACCTGGGGAAGTCAAGGAACACTGGGTCACCAGATGCTGAAGGACTATTCTCTACAGGTGACAGGAAGAGAGGTCTTTCCCTTGGAGCTGTGATCTTGAGTATAGACTTCTAAGATATCTAAACTCTAAGAGAATACATTTCTTTTTGTTAAAGACTGTACTATCTCTGTTACAGCAGCACTAGATGACTAAAATAGGGTGTGAGAAACAGTGAAATATAACGTGACTGAAACTTAGGGTTTAAAGATCTTTGAGTATGTTTTTTTTTGTCAAACAGGCACTTCTTATTTTTATTGGTTTTTTGTGTGTGTGTGTGTGCGTTTGTGTACCATCAAATTGGATCTGACTAGTACATGAGGAGCTTGCCCCTCCTTTTCCAGTAGAGCATCTGGTGGATTTGAACCGAGTACCTCTGGGATTGCAGTGCAGCTTCTTGCCACTAGGCCACCAGTGTTCCCCATATTCTTGAAAATCCTGACAACTTATCTAAGATGACTCATCTGTGGTGAATCGTGGGTCATCACTGTCTATGAATGGAGGTCTTTCAGTGAAAGAATTCAACAATGGAGTGTGGCATTTGAGGAATCTGGGTTTGTTTCTTATATGTCACTAACTATGTGAATTTGAATGAATTGCTTAATTTCAAACCCAAGTTTTTCATCTGTTCAATGAAAATAAAACAGTATCTGTCTTACAGGCTATGGTGAGATTCTGTGGAGAGACAAAGCAAAGGGTCTAACACAGAATAAATACTCCATATGTTGGCAAATATGTTAACAGAAAATCCAGAACACTAGGACTACCTAAAACTTTGGAAAAGAGAGCTATGATGTCCTAGTGTCAAGAAGCTGCACTGCAATCCCAAAGGTGTGAGGTTCAAACCACCAGATGCTCTCCTGGAGAAGGTGGGGCAATCTCCTCCTTTGCCAGATGGATCTGATTCGATGGTACACAACAAGGGAAAAAACCCCACAAAAACCTTTAGAAAAGGTGTTAATAGCTTACCTCAACCTTTTTATTCAGATCTTTACATTCTTGCACCAAACAATCTTTAGTTCCATAGAACAGGTAAACAGCCTATGAAAAATGGACAGAAAAAAAAAGGTTATTAAAATAATCTTAACAAACTCGACACACATTAAGAAAAATACATTGTACCAAAGCTCCCTGGACACGGCTGTTGATTTTTGTCTCCGTGGAGGGGACAAGATAATGAAAGGAAGAAGCAGCATCTAGTTTACCACTGACACCTACCTACTAATTCTGCAGATTAAAAGTGGAACCCCCCTGAAGGGCAGTGATAAAAATATAGAACTAAAAAAATTACCATAATTTTTAATTTTAAAGTTTATTCTGTTACTCAATTGATAGTTTAAAAGTCTTGGTGAACTCTAGTACAATCAAGGATGTATTATATTTCTCCTTTAGAAAGTGACAATAAAGGTCCTTATTTTGAAACAGTGATGGTTTGTGTCTAAAAAAGCTGCATTTTTATAAAGAATATGCTAAAATTAGAAAACTCTTAACACTGAGTTTCTTAATGAGAAATAATACAAATTTTCAATCAGAAAATCAATTTTTAATAAAAAGTTGATGGAAGCACAAAGATGCTGATCGAATAATTAACTGTACCAATATCATTCTTTACTGCCTTAGTAACTATATTAATAAGATGGAATTAC